GTGGTTACCTCCTGCGGCAGCCGACGCACGGCACCATCTGCGCAAGCGCTGCGAACAGGTCCTTGCTGGTGACCATGAGCGCGAGGAGACGCTCATCGCGCGTCAACGCGTTGTACTTATGCCGGAACACAGCCAGGTCCTTCTGCTTGATGCCGACGCCGTCACAGCCGGCACACACGTCCGCAAACTCCATCACCATCTGTAACAGAATAGTAATGCATGCGATGTTAATGCAGCCAGCAGTGATGCAATCACTATCTTCATACAGCCAGCAGTGATGCGATCACTATCTTCATACAGCCAGCAGTGATGTGATCACTACAGCAATAGTAACATGAGATGTTAATGCAGCCAGCAGTGATGCAATCACTATCTTCATACAGCCAGCAGTGATGCGATCACTATCTTCATACAGCCAGCAGTGATGTGATCACTACAGCAATAGTAACATGCAATAGTAACAAAAAGTTACATGAGATGTTAATACAGCCAGCAGTGATGCGATCACTACAGATGTGATGTTACTACAGCTAGCAGTAATGCGATCACTACAGATGTGATGTTACTACAGCCAGCAGTGATGTGATCACTACAGCAATAGTAACATGTGATGTTAATACAGCTAGCAGTGATGCGATCACTACAGATGTGATGTTACTACAGCCAGCAGTGATGTGATCACTACAGATGTGATGTTACTACAGCCAGCAGTGATGTGATCACTACAGCAATAGTAACATGTGATGTTAATACATGTGATGTTAATACAGCCAGCAGTGATGCGATCACTACAGATGTGATGTTAATACAGCTAGCAGTGATGCGATCACTACAGATGCTGTAGTGATCGCATCACTGCTGGCTGTATTAACATCACAATAGTAACATGTGATGTTAATACAGCCAGCAGTGATGTGATCACTACAGATGTGATGTTAATACAGCCAGCAGTGATGCGATCACTACAGATGTGATGTTAATACAGCCAGCAGTGATGNGCAGTGATGTGATCACTACAGCAATAGTAACATGTGATGTTAATACAGCCAGCAGTGATGCGATCACTACAGATGTGATGTTACTACAGCCAGCAGTGATGTGATCACTACAGCAATAGTAACATGTGATGTTAATACAGCCAGCAGTGATGCGATCACTACAGATGTGATGTTACTACAGCTAGCAGTGATGTGATCACTACAGCAATAGTAACATGTGATGTTAATACAGCCAGCAGTGATGCGATCACTACAGATGTGATGTTAATACAGCTAGCAGTGATGTGATCACTACAGCAATAGTAACATGTGATGTTAATACAGCTAGCAGTGATGTGATCACTACAGATGTGATGTTAATACAGCCAGCAGTGATGTCATCACTACAGCAATAGTAACATGTGATGTTAATACAGCTAGCAGTGATGTGATCACTACAGCAATAGTAACATGTGATGTTACTACAGCCAGCAGTGATGTCATCACTACAGATGTGATGTTAATACAGCCAGCAGTAATGCGATCACTACAGCAATAGTAACATGTGATGTTAATACAGCCAGCAGTGATGCGATCACTACAGATGTGATGTTAATACAGCTAGCAGTGATGCGATCACTACAGATGTGATGTTAATACAGCCACATCTGTAGTGATCACATCACTGCTAGCTGTATTAACATCACATGTTACTATTGCTGTAGTGATCACATCACTGCTGGCTGTATTAACATCGCAGTGATGCGATCACTACAGATGTGATGTTAATACAGCCAGCAGTGATGTGATCACTACAGATGTGATGTTAATACAGCTAGCAGTGATGTGATCACTACAGCAATAGTAACATGTGATGTTAATACAGCCAGCAGTGATGTGATCACTACAGCAATAGTAACATGTGATGTTACTACAGCCAGCAGTGATGTGATCACTACAGCAATAGTAACAGATGCTAGCAGTAATGAGACTAACATCTTCCGATCCATCACACTGTTAAAAAACTCATCATTTTAAAACAATTAACCATCTAGCAAGAATGAAACCTGTTGCTACAATTAGCAATCTATTAGTAACTTTGTTTATACACATAGCACTCAGAAGTATGTACAGTGAGTTGATACATTCATCAGTTACACATATTTACATAATCTATCATTCTACTCAACACTCACACACACAGACGGCAGCTATACGTGCCAAGCACAATAACTCAAATATAGCCAAGACCAACTAGTGCTTTGCGAAAGTTACTGTAACGTGCAAAACAGTGGAAAAAATACACGGGTGCTCGGGGCGATTTAGCCCCCGAAATGCCAAAAAGAGCCCCGGAAATGCCAAAAAGAGCCCCCGGAAATTTGCATAGATTTCAATGCAAACCAAATTTTAGAGTGCTATTTTCATGCACGCGAGTTTAAAAAGTAGCCCCCGAAAAATAAATTTTAATGTTTTCCCTGGTGCAAAATAAAAACAATTAAGCTTGTTAGTGGTACTTGTATGGTTAACTCACTACATCATATTCCTCATTTTGCAGTTTCTTTCAAAGGAAATTCAACGAGTATACCGCAAATGCTCCTATTTATTAGGAAGTCAGACATATATTGTGAGGATAGTAGTTAATTTGTACGGTAAATGCTTGTGCTTTTTTTAATCTACTATTCACAACTAGCGATCTAGTCAATTTAACACCATCATTAATTACTGACCTCGTTAATAAACTAGACAGCAAGCTGAGTTGTTAATTACATTATGTATTTACAACGACTCAAAAACTATGAAGAGAATGTGTGCAAACTGATCATGTTGCCCAGTATCAAATAACATAACTTAGTACATGAATAATGTAGGTGGGTGTGTAAGCGCCATAAGAAACCCGTGGTACTAATTCACTGTTTACAAGCATGACATGCCAGCCAGACAGCCAGTGTCTCAAACTCTAAACTACTCTAAAACCGAGGAATACGAAATCAATGCCGGGGCGAATAGTTTCTACTGATTGGGGGACTTTACCAGGGCATTACATTGCTTGCGCAGCGCAGAAAAAACTCGCGAACACTTTTTCCGTCACAGTTTTTCAACATCGTACACGTATAAATGCAAGCAAAACAACTTTCGTGTAATACGATGCTGACCGCACGTGTGAGTGAACTGCACTGATCTGATCTGCTCACGATCACGCAGTTGGAGACTTGTAGAGGCCACATTACTGTACATGCTATTTATCGCGGGCACACGCAGACAGACAAACACGCACGCACGCACACGACTATTCACGCCAAGCTAAAAAATGGCAAGAAAGACAAAGGCCTTGAAAAACATGCATATTAGCAAAAGTACGATAATAAGAATTTGCATAATATTGATATTAGCACAGCTAACAATGAAAGCCAGGCACCAAGTGGCTAAGATTCAGGTTTGGGAGAATTGCTAACATTTTGTGACTACAACTTCTCATTTCATATCACCTACAAGATTTACTCTCAGTCTGGAATTAAGTAAACATTTGTGCATGAAACAGCACATCTTCCTACTCCAATAAATGAATTAGGTCATATTTTAATTAAGCTGGAAAATATGGCACACACAGACACGCCCTGTTTCTATTATTTAGCTGCAGTGTTACAGAAATGTTCACCTCTAAAATAGAACTGTGCCAATTGTGTTTTTAGTTCATGCATCAGTAGAGACTCCAGTCAGCCACAGACAGGCTTTTACGCGCACAAGCCCCACACCCGTACATGTATACAGTATTACGCGTACCGTCGATGTTACAACAGGTAAACCATGGGACGGGAGACGAAGTTGCACCATTACACATAGCATCAGGAGAGAATTTACAGAAGATGCCTTCATTTGCACAGCCCGCTCGTTTTGTAACAAGTGCGGAAGTCGACATTTATTAAAACAATGGCTATGGTCACAACCTGTGATAAAAAATAGTGCACTGATAAAGAACAGCTTACCAAGTTTCGTTTAGTAAATTATGAATGATGTACATGGGTTTTCACACACTTTCTTCTGTAAATATTTCAACAACAACTTGGTGTTAGCTCAGATATTCTCAACTATTTTCCCATGTGCAAGGGGGTTGATCTGCAGGGTACGCACTATAAATTATAATCCACTAGTTATCATAGCAGTTTTCCTGTGGCTTACTGCTAAAATACCGTTCCACAAGTTCACTGCCAGATTACTACACGGGGTGGCGTCTGTGCTAGTCATGCAAGACCAGTCACAAAGCAGGCCATATGACTGCTTTTATTTGTAATGCATACCTGTATAACACTGGGTATGTGTACTGTAGACATCTTTACAATATAACATGTACAGCAAAACAGGCTGTTCAAATGTCTACGCTATAAAACAGAGTTCAAACCACTATCCGAACCAGTGCCCTATGACTTTTACACTTGAATATATGTAGATGTCATAAATGGTGTCGCACCTAGTCTGTATGGACTTATAATCCATTAAACATCAAGTATGGTACTGAAAACCAAGTATATGAAGTACATTCAAAAATTGTGAATGCATTAAATTATGGTCTTTTGTTGAATGTGGTTGCTCCAAGGGCATACTAACACAAATGTATCTGCAATATCACCCAATATAAGGCAGAGATACAGCCACAAAAGCGTCACTGATGTCAAATGCTGTACCATGAATATAAATTTAAATATTAAAAGTTTTCTTCCTTATAAACACAAGTTCATTCGTACTTACAAAATAAGCTACAAGTTTGACAGCTACAGAAAATTACATAAATTTTATTGGGATGCTGATAATAACTATTTGAGCAAACTGAAATTCCTGTTGAAATCCATATTATGGAATTGTGCATGCACAAGAAATATCTCTGCCCACTTAAACTATGATCATATTATGCTAACATAATACAGGCATATATCCCAAACAAAATCTCCAAATGTCTATGTGGTTGCACTAAACCCGAGCATTCAACTAGAGACTACTAGTACTATGCGTACAGCGAAGTATTAGGCTATAAGATGAATAAAAAATGTTGGAGCCTAATGAAGATAGGTTTTTTTCCACTCAGTCTGGTGAAATTTCTCTGCTAAGCAGCAAATAAGTGAGACTTTTTATGTACGGTACATTTACACTTGATTGCTGATCCTAACTGATAAAAACTACATGAAAACTACTCAGTCAATGCCTTGCTAAGTTGATGACAAATTTCATGTCGTGGAAAATATACCCCACCCTCACACCTAACCAACTGTTTTTCTTTCTCTTATGAATGTACATACCACCGTTAATGCCAAGAACGACTGAGAGTGTGAGTCTATGCATTTCCTAGATCTATTCCCTTCAAAGTTCTATTGCAGGAAGTTCAAACAATATGCCAACAAAACTAAATATGCAATAATCACACAAGCCAACAGATAAGAAGGCCAGTGCACATATTGTTTTCACTAATATAGTAATATGTCATAATCAATGGCTTCCCAAGGAACTAGGCATATTATGAGGCAGGCCACCTTTATTAAGTAGCTGTCATCTATAGGACACCAAAACTATTCACTGGATAACACATCAGATTTTTAATACAAACAACATAGTGCACCCCATTAACAAGATTGTGGTAACATTGCATGTACTACAACATATTCACATACTTGTCTCAGAATAAGATAAAAATCATGATAAATTCATCAAATTACACATATTGTCAATCAATAAATGGCATTAGTACATAGAGGTAACTGTTGTGTAATACGTATCCCTTTATAATCCTTGTTAAGGATACTCACCACGTTGCGCAAGGGTATTGCTCTAGTGAAGATTAAACGTTTATTGGCGAATGAATCGAATCAATCACTTGTTTTATTTATAGAGGAGATATATCTCTATGCTCAAGCCAAAAAATTTAGAAATTTCCAGCCACCTAATTATGTTACCACACAAATTTTGAATTTTTATGTAAAAATGGTATTTTGGATATTTCTCAACTACCAGAAGGAGTGAGGATACAAAATTTTTGCCACATGTTAAGCACAATATGGACCAAAATAGCCCATCAGGATTTTTCTTTAATTTACATATTTACTGAGAAAACTCGAAAAAACTGCTTAAAAATCAAGTTATGTGTAAAATAGAAATTTAGCGAATAAAGAGACATAACTAATAAAGTAAGGCACTAATAACAATCCCTGATGGGCTTTTTACCACAAAATGTTACCATTAAAACGAGTGTAAAATTAAATTAATCCGAGTTGTAATCACAGAGAAATATCCATTTATACATCGGCTACTATGTCAGAAATCGAAACAGAGAAATCAGCGTTTTTCTATTTTTCACAATGAGTGACCGCCTGTGTGCAAAATGGGTGAACGATTGTGATAGTATCTATTGTTAGTACTTATTGCGACATATCCATGACTAACTGACACCACATAATTGGTAAAATTTCCATGCACCTTGAGAAATTCTGAGAAATTACGAGGGTAACCAACGCAAATTCATGAAAATGGCGCAAACCCTGACGTCACTGTCAACAAACGCGCGCCTTATGTAAGGTGCGTTGCGAGGCGTGAGAACTATTTTAGGCCTCTTGTGGGATACTTATTGGATCAGGGTAGTAGTACAGCTGTAGCAGGGTTGATGTTGATCAGGAGTAGATAATAGGGAATTCCCTATTATCTACTCCTGATGTTGATGGATACTGGCTCAGTGAATATCGTGAAAATGCTGGTTGTATCATTTGTCTGACGTCATAAATGAACGTCAGCCGCTGCTTACTACACATGTACGCGGGCAAGCAAAAACGCTCTGACAGTTCACATGTCCCGTTATATGGAGAAATGAACATGTACACAGGTGGCACATAGTGTTAGCCATCGAATAAAGTTGAAAACGAAAAATCGATGAAATTTCATGCACAACGTGGAGAGTATCCTTAATACTGACTAATAATACCCTAAATAATGACTTATTATGAGACTCATGACAATGTATGTGTCAGTAGTGTCATTGTGTTCACTTTCTTTGATCACATATATATATATGTACAGACAAACTTGCAAGCAATTTATCATTGCTAAAAATGTTTAGGAAGACCTGTGCCAGTCTTTTACTTTAGCATATGACTCGTCAAATGACAGTGCTCAATTTGAGATATAACAGTTGCATGTACATACACTAGCAGTAGAAGTTCATGATGGGCTCTTACAAGTGCATGCATGCCCAGTATGAGATAAGAGCAAATTTGTTCGATATAAATATACATGCACATACGATTTTACGATGTTTTTGCAATTCGTGTGCACTGTCCACATTCAGTGGAGTGTGCCATGCACTCTTTGAGATGCAGATATTAATCAAAAAGAAACATAAAACTTGCACGTGCAAATTCCACACTCTATACTAGATAGTAAGTACTACTAGTACTAGTACTAGTACTGTCTAATGTTATGTTCTCGTACTTGTCGGTGTCCACTACACTGGATATAATGACAAGGTAGTAAGTGCCTACAGGGATAAACCCAATAAACAAACAGGTGCATAATGATGATGTGAGTGCAATGCAACTGGTGTCCTCTTAAAGTGGGTTCGCGTGCATGTGGGAGTGAAGGCAGATTGGAATCATCCGGGAAAAAAAGGAGAATTTGAATGCGTTGTTGTTGCAGTGCAGGTGCCGAAATTTGTGGGGGGTTTTCGATCTGGTACCTGACATCCTCGGGATCAGATATCTATTCGCCGGTATTGCTATGAGGTGGTTTACAACCTTATACATCACTACACTCGAGTTAAAGCGTCTACGATACATAAGTTTAAAGTTGTTGCCACCCGAGTTGGTCCTTACTACGAGCTGACGTACTGCTATATCGCCCATAGGTGTTTGTAACAAATCTTGCAGATCTGTTTTGTATCATTTCTAGCTTATATTTATATTTCTCTTGGTGTGGGTCCCACACTGATGAGCAGTAATCCAGGCTTGGTAGTACAAGAGTTTTGTATGCTCTTTCCTTAATGTGCTGATGGCTGCAGCCCAGATTTCGGCGCAGAAAGACTAACAATCTATTGGCCTTCACACATATGTTGTCAATGTGTACGTTCCACCTGAGGCCACTGTCTAAGTGAACTCCAAGATACGGGTTGGATGTGACATACTGCAGTGAAGAGTCGTGAATGCGGTAGATGTACTTATGATGTTTTTTGCGCAGAAGGGAGATATTCATGATGTAGCGTTAAACTCCATCTGCCATGTCGATGTCCATAGTACCAGCTTGTCAAGATCGTCTTGAAGCGCTTCCTGATCTTGCTGGTTGCTAATCTCGCGGTACAACAGATAATCATCTGCGAATAATCAAGTTTGGGAAGCAATGTTGTCTGGCAAGTCGTTAATGAAAAGGAGGAATAGGAGTGGGCCTAGTACCGTTCCTTGTGGAACTCCTGAAGTGACAGCAGTCCAGTCAGAGAAGTCTCCTTCTACAACTACACGCTGGGTACGCTGGGTGAGAAAAGCTGCTATCCAGCGTAAAAGTTTTCCACGGATACCGTAATGGTCAAGCTTCTGAAGAAGGCGTTGGTGTGGGACCTTGTCGAAGGCTTAAATACTGAAGTCCAGTATTATTACATCTGTCTGCTTCCTGTTGTTAATGCTGGTTGCAAGGTCCTGAGTTGTTATTAGCAGCTGGCTCTCACAGGATCGATTACTACGAAAGCCATGCTGGTTTTCAATTAGTAATTTTTTTCCTTTGAGGTGATTTCTGACTTGGCTATTTATGATATGTTCAAATATCTTGCTAGATATTGATGTAAGCGAAACAGGACAATAGTTGCTCGGGACGCTCCTATTGCCCTTCTTAAAAACTGGTGTGATGTTAGCCGTTGTCCAATCTTTGAAAAGCTGTCCAGTATCGAGAGATTGTTGGTAGATGAATGAAAGGATAGGCGACAGGACAGGATCTGCAATTTTCATTATTCTTGCTGGAATCTGATCTGGACCTAATAGTAGTACTAGTACTAGTATGAGTAACTATTAGTATTAGTATACTATTACTAGTAGTACTAGTAGTAGTATTAGTAGTAGTAACTAGTAGTAGTACTAGTAGTAGTAGTACTAGTAGTAGTAGTACTAGACCGAATAATTCTGTCCCATATAACCTTTTTTATATTTTGGTGAGGGTTAATATTGGGACAGAACGGGGTTCATTGAAAATTTTTCGTGAGATCGCATGCAAAATTGCATGCGCTGAGAAATGCGGCCGCGTATGCCGCTTATTGCGCGGAAAAAAACCTAGACCGTTCCCTTCTAAAAAATGACTTTACCTTGCTATTGATATGTTATACATTCCATTTCAATCGTTATTCCCTTCTAAAAGATTTGTTTTTCATAAATCACCGCTTCCGTTCAAACTTTCCTAATTACATCGCCATTTACAAGCCAATCCAAGGACGCAATCACGAGCGAGTCCTATCAGGCACTCCTGCAGGCGCCACAGATACAAGCAGAAACCAGGGGCTATTGTAAGACTCGCCTGATTGGTCTAGATTGTTCTGTAATGGCGATGTAATTTAGGAAAGTTGAACGAGCGTGTTTATAAAAAACAATCTTATTAAGATGTGAATAAACGATTGAAGTGGAATGTATACACATATCAGTAGCAAGGTAAAGCCATGTAGAAGGGAACGGTAGGTTTTTTCCGAGCGGCCAATAGCGGCGTACGGGCCGCATTCTCACGGCGTTGCATTTTGCATGGCGATCTCACGAAATTTCAATGAACGCCGTTCTGTCCCATATACTAACCCTCACCAAAATATAAAAAGGTTAATATGGGACAGAATTATTCGGTCTATAGTAGTACTAGTAGTAGTAGTACTACGACTCACGAGTACGGCACGATCAATCGGATCATCTAAAGCCTAGCATTTGCAACTGAAATTATGTTTGTTCTGTGTGAGAGTCGATGAGTCGAGTGAGATGTCAAGTTGGACAGAAGTAACCCATCGTAAAATTTTTACCGTCTATATTTAATTAATAATAACAGCAATATTTTGGTGATAACCAACGGCAACGTCCTCATAGTCATACTTACTTTCAGTGATTCGTCTATGACAAGAGGCACTTGCCGTTCAAGAAATTTGTAGTCGTCTTCCCGACAAACTGCTACCAATCGAGCCATTTCGCATTCAACGGATAGCCGGTTAATTATACGATGAATATTAATTACCGGTTAACAAGAAAATATTACGGTAAAGTTCAACAGAAACCGAACTTTTCAAGGTTTTTTGAGTGAAGCAATACCAAAATGGAACACACAATTGTGACCGAACCACGTTGTGGGATAGACGAGTACGAATCCGCTCTCAGAGAGAAATATAGATCTAATTATTTTGTAATAATTAAAATACATAAAAACAATTTAAAAATATTGCAGTTATATATTTATTATTGTTCCTTCAGCTAAAATCATTCATTCATCATTTTCCTTTTTTTATTGTATTTGCAATGGTATAAGCGGATAAATATACCAAGTTGTCAACCAAGTAGATCGGTTACCTCCTGCATTCCTTATTTATATTCTTCTTACTATTTCTATCTAATGCTTATAACTATATTATGACTATATTCCACTTTTTATGTGAAATTTTAATCTTTTTATGTTTACAAATGTCTTGGAAAAAAAACGTTTAGTAGAGCTGTATATCAGGTGGAAACAGCATAGCTTATGAGAGGCTAACAACATGGCAGCCACCACAAACTGGAGTAATTTAGGTGTATCTATTTCCAAAGTTACACATAATGCAATTCAAGCATTAGGCTTTAAAAGGGCAACCCCTGTTCAGGTATTTAAAATGAGATTATATGTTATTTGCTATATTAGTTTAGATATATTGTTTATGGTAAATTTGCCCTGGCTTTGTCAAATGACAAATGACAAATTGGCATTTGAGGCTGATGCTGCACAGTGACAGTGCACTGCAGTGCTGCCCAATGCCTAGCCCGACCAGGCTGTACGAGGGATTGTCTATATAATACAGCCTAACACCCTTCCATACAAAAAACTTATCACCTCTGCAGATCTAGACGATCTGCAGCCGGATATCCGCGCGAAGCGCTCAAACGCCGCCCCGCGGCGCACTTTTGCAATTTCGCTGCCCTCTTCCCAACGCCAGTACTCAGTTCCTTTCCTAGGGTTAGCTTGAAGCCGGCTTTTCGCTCTCATCGCCAGTTCTGCGCATTGCACGAGGGATCGCACTACCCAGTTAGGTAGAGACGGGCTAGAAAAGCTCCCAATTTGTTGTTCGCTACTAGGCGCGCTTTCTTTGCTGTAATAACGGAGTTTTTTGTTCACATTGTAACAATATATAGCGCTGATGCGTAGCGTTGACTGGCTGAGCTTAGAAGATCCGATATAGAGGAACAATAGAACATGTCTTCGCTATTCGTAATCAATCCAGTTTACAGTTAGTTTCATTGTCACTCTTATCTGCTATTGTATCTCTGCATAGTTACACTCCTCATCAAACTAAAGATTTCAACATGGTGGCAGAAGTGCCTAAACTGTGAACAGTGGGAAGCTTGAACTGTAAGTGTTCCGTAAGAATTAACGTGAAATTCCGGAGTGCTCCGACTCGTACGGCCCAAGGATAGAGAACATGAGGCTCCAACAAACAACAACTGTGCTCGTACTCGTGCATTCATACCAGGCGACCTATCATATATGATGATATATAACGAGCGATCCCCAATGCGCGAGTCGAAGGATTGTATCGCAGACACTCACGGAATACCGTCTATTTTGACTAGCGAGTGCATGTACAATTAATTCACTAGTAAGGGTACTTTCACGTGAGGTACTGACTTTAACCAGCCTACAGGGCTGAGCTGGAGTCACTTAGACACTTAGCTAGGTTCACTACAGCGACGGAGCTAATAATATGACAAACTGGTTACGCGCGGGCGGGGGGGAAGGGTTACGTAGTAAGGCTACGCTAACACTAATATTAATAATGACGACTTTGCCTTAGTGTCTACTTAGCTATCTCGCGCGACTTAGAAATTGCAAAGTAGAGAAGTAGTAAGGCGGGTTGAGACTAAAGACGCAAATCTATTTCACTGACAACTTCGTGTGATTTTTCGTATGAGGGGCAGTAGGCCGTGACTGGGGCTGCGTTTGAGGGGGGTGGGTATTATTGCGATCGTTCCTGGTAAATTCCGTCGAAGATCTCGTCGCAAGCGTACCGACTGCGCCGGCCTTGGCCATTGGGCTGCGCGGCCGGACGCGGAAAAAGCCGCTTGTTGCACGCTTACAGCTGCAAGTAATGATGATAAAAAAGAAAAGAAAAATCAAGCCAGAGTTAATTGTTGACGTTGCGGAGCGCGGGGGGCGTTGGTGATGAAGACGTAGCCTGACGGATTTCGCCTCTGCAATGAAAGGGCTTTCTCGAAAGTTAAGCTTTGAGAAAGTTTTCTGACAGGACGCGAACACAGGCCACGCGGCCCGTCGGGTGTCGATACCGAGCCGACGGATTGAGGGGGCGGGGGGAGTAACACAGTTGAGAGGGTGGTGAGTGTTATCATTAGTGGTCTCACCAAGCGGATATGAACTACTTTCAACATGACGTCAATTATTCATATTTAGCAGGGGTTAGGGGGAAAGCGGCTTTTGCCCCCTTGCCAAATTTTCGCTGCCGGGAGGGGGCGTGGCGAGCTTCATTTAAACTTTGGGCGAGCGGGGACGGCAGATAGGCACAATTCAACAGGCTTCCATTTTGTTTGCGCCTGGAGAGAACAGATTACGTGCTGTTAATATAAAACATAAGTCTCTGTTCGTAACCGAGCTGTGTCATGCCCGAAACACAACAGAAGACTGACGAAATTCTCGGCGTCGCGAACCTTGGCCCAAGTAATGGAAATGAGCTGCTCAGCCGCCCAACACCCTGCAACGCTTTGTGCAGAGTGCAATGGCGGGCTCGTACGGGTATCGAAAGCACGGCCGCCTATAGCCCATAGACTGGCACTCGCTCCACCTCTCGGCTTAGCTTAGTCACTCGATGGGTAATCGAGGTGGGAGTGAGTCCCAGTCTATATATAGCCTTTGTCCTTGCAGCCATTTCCATTACTGGGCAAGGTTCGCGAACGCGAAAATTTCGTTAGTCTTTCTGTGATTTCGTGTGACACAGCTCGGTTACGAACAGAGAAATTATGTTTTTATAACAAGTGAACACTGTTCACGTCCCAAATGTCTGCCCTCTGTGTCCCCCACTAAAATTGTGGACTGTTCGCTGGCAGCTATGGATGCGTGCGCCGGTCTAAGCATTCGGCGCACGGATCCATAGCTGCCAGCGCTGCATACTGTCGTAGGACGTTCCCGCGGTCGCGTGCGCCTTGCCGCGGAACTGCGCGCAAGATCTGCGCTCAGCACTTCGGGTCAACACCTCCTTTCGGCAACGCTTCTCTAATATCCCGTCTCATCTGGATGAATAACTCTGTATATCTCAAATAAAACTATTCAGTATTCTATTACCACCTTTGACTTGCCTAGTTTGAAATATGAACGTTAACTCACAGTTGTCCTGCTTCTAACCTAGAATGTAGTGATGCTGGCGTGCAAGCTAGCATTGCGCGCGCTCATTATTTATTCAAGGCGCTTAGCAAGCAGAGGTGTCGCACACAGGGCAGGCAGAGGTGTTTAATAAACTGACCGGATAGCATGGTTGACAGATAGAGTGCGGAGAGGGGGCACGCGGTGCTCGCGAAGCAGCAATCGCAGGTCACATAGGGATGCGGCCTGGCGAAGCTCAGGAGGTGAGAAGATAATGCCTGGATGTTGGTCACAAAGGCCGGGCTGTTATAAAAGGCGCGCTGCGCTTGGAGCGGGAGAACTCCTCTCATTGTCTCACCCCAACTGTCCGTGTCACACGTGTACTCCTTTTACTGTTGCTTTACCGTTGCTTTGTTGTTGTCAATTGTAATGGCTTGAAATATACGTGATTGTGGTACGTTACGCCTCTAGTTCATATTTCCTTTGCATTTTGCACTGCCTTTATCATTACCCGGTACACACTATACGTCACGCCAAGTACAACCTTACATTAATTCATGGTATAATCTGCTAATTCTCACAGCATATCAACTTTCCAATCAGCTTTACCTGCCATGTTTACACTGCACATGAGTCAATGGAAGAGAGACATGGAAAACCCGAAATGGAAAATACTCGCTGGAAAATATTACAGAAATAGTACAATAGCTGCACGATGGCTCTCACGGCAATTACACACCAAAGCAAGTGAAACGATGTTCACAAATGTCTGGGCCATTTGTAAAAACTTTAGATGACATGTTCTCGGATGTAGGGTTGGTTTACATGAGGATCGCAGATCGTTTAATTTCTCTTGTTTGATCCATTGCGGATTTTAGTCATAGTCGGAATGATAGCAAACATGGTGGCAAATTCATAAATTTGGTTGCATTCGTCTCAAAAAGTTGCTGTAACCCCGTAAGTACCCAGCGCATCGTAGCGCACTGATGGTTACAAGAAGGTGGATGTATACTGATTTATTTGGTATATCACATGTGAAGTGTTCTTTGGTGATACTTAGCAAATAAGACAACTACGTGTTTAGCTGCAGCCAATGTTTGAAACGGTATTTTAACCCTAGCAATACCGTTTCTTGGAGCTACCCAATGCCATGACAATGCCATTAAATTGATCAATGGCATCGTGGTCCATGGACTGAGTCTGATGCCACGGTCCATGGACTGAGTCTGATGCCACGGTCCATGGACTGAGTCTGATGCCGTGGTCCATGGACTGAGTCTGATGCCACGGTCCATGGACTGAGTCTGATGCCATGGTCCATGGACTGAGTCTGGTGCCATGGTCGAATCGATGCCCATGGACTCAGTCTGATACCATGGTCCATGGACTGAGTCTGATGCCATGGTCCATGGACTGAGTCTGATACCATGGTCCATGGACTGAGTCTGATACCATGGTCCATGGACTGAGTCTGATGCCATGGTCCATGGACTGAGTCTGATGCCATGGTCCATGGACTGAGTCTGGTGCCATGGTCCATGGACTGAGTCTGATGCCAGGGTCCATGGACTGAGTCTGATGCCACGGTCCATGGACTGAGTCTGATGCCATGGTCCATGGACTCATCATGGACCACGGCATCAGTCCACGGACCATGGCATGAGTCTCATGCCATGGTCCGTGGACTGATGCCGTGGGCCATGGACTGAGTCTGATGCTGTGGTCCATGGACTGATGCCGTGGTCCATGGACTGGTGCAATGGGAAGCTATACCCTAAATAACAATAACATCGTGGCTATTGAATTACTAAAATAGACTGGAGTTTGTTAATAGTTAGCTGAACAGAACGAAAAACCAATGAGTCCAAACTACATGAGCTTCAACTCAAGCATCATATCAACTGCTTCAATTCTGCATGTTGTCACAACAATGTACTATATGCAAGCTATATATGACCACTTAGTGTATAGCCCATGTGGTTTTCTCAATATTTATTTATTACAGGCAGCGTGCATACCTCAGTTTATGAGAAACAAGGATGTCGCTGTGGAGGCGATAACAGGCAGTGGAAAGACACTAGCATTTGTCATCCCCATTTTAGAGATACTTCTAAAGCGTGAAGATAAACTGAAAAAGAAGGAGGTAAAATGGTATATTATTTACAAAGTGTCAGAGCTTGAATTTCCTTTTTAGTCATTATCAGCTACTCTACCTGGTTTATTTAAGAAGTTAAATTATGATAAGAAAACTGGTGCAATGTTAGAACTTAGAAACGAAACCTACCTGCAGAATGTGGAAAAGGAAGAAAAATGTAGCTGTAGTGTATGTAAAAAATGTATTCATAGAAATATAGACGGAAAATTTATATACAATTACTAATGAGATGAGTAGGCAAGAAAGAAGGTGAGAGCATGGTGATTGAAGCAGATCTATGGGTTACATGACAGACAAATGGTGTCTTTTATGTTGACAGGTTGGCGCTATCATTGTTACACCAACACGAGAACTGGCTCAGCAGATTGATGACGTACTGTCGCACTTTCTCAAGTTCACAAAGGAGCTAACGCACATTGTCTTTGTGGGAGGCGGAAGTACTGAACAGGACATCACACAGTTTGCTGAGCATGGGTACATTTCACATTCTTGCATGGTGCATTCTCAGATAATGGGTTCATTCATGTCTTCAGAAAAAGATGATAGAGATTCGATTCTATATCGTTTGTTGTGAAACCTCTTCAGTTTATGAGTAACCTCATCATCAGTGACATGTCAAAGTCTGTGTTTTGTTCTATATCATTTGTTGTGACACCACATTAGTTTACAAGGAACATCATCAACAGTGACAGGTCAAAGTAACTTTGTTTTTTGCATTAAAGTGCCAATATCATTACGGCCACACCTGGACGCTTGGAGGACATGTTTCGGCGTAAGCAGGATGGCTTCAACCTTGCAGCTCATGTTAAAAGCCTCGAGGTGCTGATATTGGATGAGGCTGATCGGCTGCTAGGCATGGGGTTTGAAGACAGGTTAGTACAAGTAGTTACGTCAAACAACCTGTTTGATTTATGTAACAACCTGTCTGCCTCTATCTACTCTTCTCTCTCTCTCTCTCTCTCTCTCTCTCTCTCTCTCTCTCTCTCTCTCTCTCTCTCTCTCTCCTCCCTCTCTCGTTCTCTCTCATTGGCGT